TTGAACCATATCCAACTAAATTTAATACATATACATGTAGGGAGGTACGTACTGTAAAATAAAAAGTAGGTATAGATGTGTGATTGTCGATAAATTTGGGAGGACGAAGAAAAAAATCACAAAGTAAACTTTAAGCCTTACAAGATAACCGGTCCAAGCCATCGATATTATGCTGCCAGACATCGAGACACCATAAATAGTAGAAGTGGACGATTTAATGATGTCGCTTCGTGAAAACAGCCTCGTTTGTGGCTTATCAATCATGCTTTACAGCTCACTATCATAGTATCGTTTCACTGCAGTTGTTAGATTCCAGTAGGAAGTCGAGCGATATTTATTTCATACGAAGGCGATTGAATTTTATTACCACTCGCAACGGAATGGTCACACAGTTTCTAGAAATCTAAGATTACTATCTCGTTGTCGAGTTGTTTACAACATTCTAGATAAAACAAAAGTTCGTGTAAAAGGTTGTTGTTGAACATATTGGAGTAATACACGGGAGAAGGGAATTATGAAGTTTTCCCTTGCGGCTAGCAAACGGAGCACTGTCACGCGACGTGGAGCGAAACGAATCGTAATAAGACAATACTGGTCGCGTTATTTGCTCGATAGATAAGTGAAGAAAATGTTCTAACTAAGTTATATCGCGTGCACCATTGAGCTGTCGCTGTACGCGAAATCACATTCAAATTGGTGTACTTAATGACTTCATTATGTAAAAAAGAAAGAAAACAACATGATGCCATTTACTAAAGGCTTAAACATTGTAGCTTTTTAACATTTAATGATTTTTATAAATTTATTAGATGCATCATTGCCTTGCCTTTATCCCATTAAGTATGTCATTCTCTTCCACTGATCTCTATCAATCGTCATATCTAAACATACTCTTCTTTTAATCATCTTTCACACAATCCATCCATTTATTAGATTTTATTATTTTTTATAAATTTATTAGAATTAGTTATTAATATTAATGTACAATATTTTAACGAAGTACTAATTGAAGTATTACACTTAATATTATTAGGATATTTTTTTGAAAATTAAGAGACAGCCATGTCGCAGGGAAAAATATATACGAATACACCGTGTTATCAAGTCACGACTTCGCCTGCGTGACATTTTATTCTTCGGTACCAGTTCTACTTAGTTCGGACGCTAGATGACGTGTGATAATTATGTTTGAAAGTTAGTCATAAAATATATTAGAAAAATTACAAACAAATCACCACAGATTTTGTGATTTTGTATATTACTATTTTTTATTTATTTAATTAAGTATATGGCTGTTGACTAATGCATACGCAAACATGTGTAAATGTGTTATGTAGTGCTATTATTCGAATGCAACAATAAAAGTAATTATTAACCTTATTTATTTATAGATGCATTTCGGTTTAGAAAATCACACGATAGCCAATTGTTTATAATTATATTTACGTTTCAACCATAGGTGTTTATTTATTTTATTAGATAAACAAACTGTGTATCTAGTGTGAACTGGAAATTAGTCCAGTATCTCGTTTTACAATTTGTATAAGGTCGGGTCATTAATAAATTAAAACAATGATAGATGTTATTTTATTTTACATTATTATATTATAATGTATAATTTTATTTACGATTTGGCTAGTGGTTTAATTCTGAAATTGTAAAATAGATATCGCCCACAATAAAACGAAACCGGTGTTTCCAAAATGTAAGTCGTACTCGCAAATGAGACATCGGAGCAAATATTTTTATTCTTATTTACACTTTTATATTCATATAATATATCAGACAGATGAAAAGATAAACCCGTAGTATAAGAGTTATAAGAGTAATAACCTCAAAATAATTGATAACCAGATTTCTAGCCAAAATCAAAAAACGTTATTGGGTTTATAATTATTATTTTGTATCAACTTATTTACATATATATTTTGTCTATAATATGATGTTAATATAAAACGGAATCCTCACGCGATTTCTAAAGTAATAGAATATATTGGAAACTTTTTTACAGATAAAAGTTTAAAATAATCGATGCAGAACGCTATCGACCAACTGCAAGCGTTTATCGAGCATAGCAACCGATAAAAATGGAAACTGAAAAACAATTACTCAATCAACACGACAGTACTGTACCTACGCCGTCCTGCAGTACTAATAAATAACAAACAAACGCTGGTTAAAAATAGAAGCGGGCACGGCGGACGGGCGAATGACCGTTGCTTGACACACAACTGGCTCAAGGCCCGTAGAGATTAGATACTGACGCCGCATAACAAACATACATAATGACAGACAATTGCAAAATAATCCGTGGCCGAGAATGCTACAACGACTCATTGTTTTATCTGATGAAAATTTCGAGCGACAGATGGCGCAAAACGAAATTTTAAAAGCAATTTTACCTAAGCGTAAGCGGTTCATACATTTGTGGTTTTAAGTTGCTATTACATAAATTATATAGTTATGTAGTATATATACGAATTATATAAAAAGAAAAAGGGTGACTTGCCAATGTTAGGAAATAGGTCGAATATTTTTTTAAATCTCTACAGTATAAGGACCTGCGATGCTTGTGGTTTATGGCATACTAAGGTTCCTTTTTTCATGTTGCCTTAAAATATATGCTGCCATAATGCTGCATTAATCTGTACATTTTAATGATATCGCATAATAACCCGTTTTATACCGCTTTGCTTCCACTTATTGGATATTAAAGTAATTATTATAATATATTATTAATAATTAAAGACTAGTTAGCAAGAACTTTCATTCTATCAACTCTGATTACTGTCCAATTACGAAAAAATATAGATAACAAATCAAATTAATCCGTGGTACGGTGATAAGTTCACCCCCTGCCAAGTTATAAACAAATATGCCAAATGAATAAACGAAATGTAGAGTTAGAAATGTTTAATAAAGTAAATGCAATAGAAAATATTTTATTACGAACAAGTTTTTCAATTTTGTACTTATTTTTAATTACCAACAGATGGAAACTTATAATTCTATTCATATGGCGGCAAATTCATAAAAACTGGCATAAGCTGTTTCACGAGGCAAGCATAAGCCTATTATAAATATCGTTGCGTAACATATATACGAAGTAAATATTTGGTTAGGCGTCAATTTTTCGTGCATGCATACCTCGAAGGATACATACAGTGTGTAAATATTAAATAATGCAATACAAATAAACGAAGCCAGCACAAACACATTGCCGCAAGGTACCTTATAATTTTCGTTATAATTTTACAGTTCGTAAGTGTAAGAGTTTTAACCAAATGACTAGATAATTTAAATCTAAACATTATGTTCTAGTTAATAAATGTTAAAATTGAATCTAAGTTACGATAACATTAGTTTCTAAAATATAGCGCTGCGACTGAGAGATGAGTGAATGAACAACGGTTACAGGTTTGATTTACGGTTTAAAGCAATAGAAAAAAACAAATTGTGTTAAAAAATGCCCAGGCAGGTGAGATATTAATCAAAGCGTTGACTCGTAAACCTCCCCACCGGAGCGATTAAATTACAGTAAAGTATACATTTATTCCTCAAAATAACGGGCACAGTATGTACTTAGATAGGTAGGTACTCGTATTTACTGTTGGTCTTATCTAGAAAACTGTTTCATGTTTTTGACAGCGACAAAAACATTGAACTTTTTTCCATGATAACCTCTATCTACTAGCTGGTAAATAGTTTAAATATATAGTTTATTGTTACAAAAAACAATTTTTTAAATACATAATTTCATAAACTACAGAATAGTAAGATTTTATTGTAACAATCAATGTCGTTATGTATTACAAATATGTTAATATATGTAATACATAACGAGACAGGTATAAATAATATACAAAGATGAATGGTAAATTCTAAAACTGAAAAATATTCACGAAGAAACAAACTAAATTTGAAAACAAAATTCTGATACTTTCATAAACTGGACGGTCGCGTGTTCCTTTGAATATTAAAGGTTAAAAAAGGTTCCTATATGTCCACGATTTAGCTTCATACCAACCCGTCACTACTAACCCTTTATTTATACATACACAAACAATACAGAAATGCATACTACATCTACTAGTCAGAATTTACATTTAAATATTGTTTGTATTCTATATTAACATATGTACCTTTGTACCTAATTAGTCATTTGGACAAAATAGAATCTTACGATTTATTTACTATTACTTAAAATTGTACAAAAAAATATAAATTAGTTTCGCCTGTAATATCTTAAATATGAGGGAATAAATAGTGACAGAGTATTTATCAACAGAGCAGAAACTGTTTATAATTATCACATTAGTTTATTATTTAAAAGAAGAACGAATTCATTCATACAGGGATATGTCCCTGTATGAATGATAAACGTGGGCATAGTGGCAGGAAGCAGCTAGTACTTTAATTAAAAATATGCAGATTGTTTTACATAATTATACTATTAAATAAAGCTACATCACTGCGCTATTAAACTTGGAATTAATTGGCATTTACAAAAAATATATGATTCTAACGTAATAGATATTTTTAACATCTTAATTAAGAATTACATAAGAAATATGATATTTGCAGGTTGAAGCATGGAAAAGCAACAGTGTGAACGCCTCCACTCCGTTATAACTGCCCACCACCAAAAGTGTATGGCGTGTAGATAGCCATCATATTGTTTGTTCGTCCATAGTAAAAGAATACAAAACAGCATCGATGAGACTGTATATAATTAATTAATATAGCTATATAACATAAAACTACTACCAATCAATCACGTGATATCATAATGGTATCAACCATAGTAGGTATGAATAATAGTTTAATATACAATAGATATTTTGATATTGTGACTTAGTCACTGGAGAAAGTTATTACCTTACTGTAGTTTATATTTCTTTTCCATAAAAACAGCTACCAATGATATTAAATAGCTTTGTTCATGTACCTACCTACATAAATGAAGTCGACAGTAATAACAAGTAAAATTAAAAAAATACCTTGATCTGATATGAATTGACTTTGTACTTCGGCAGCAAATTGAAAGTGGAGAAATCCAGTCTTCTGGAAAATATGCCATTTGCGCCCGCACCAGCCCTGAAATAATAGAAATTTGAAAATAAGAAATATTATTTTTGCAAGTAGTCTCTATTACACATTTTCCATAATCCTCTTTTATAGACTACAAGGTTGGAAATTAAGCTTATTACATTTCTAGTTGTATTTAGATATACAATAAAGACATGTGCAATCAAGAAGTTAATTACAATAAAAAAACGGAAACAAAACAAAACAATCTAGAAAATTGTTTCGCAAAAAAACAGCACAATAAATATTAATAAACCGGTTCACTCATTTGGCTTTTATTAATTAATGTCCAACCAGAAAATGTAGACATTGGGTAGGTTTATCTGATCTCGGCACGTCATTATGTTCGAATATTGACTGCAATTTAGCGGATATTACAAAGACAAAATTTTAATTGGTTCATTAAAAATGAGCACCATAATAGTATAGATAAGTAACACAAATGAATTTCTAAAATCACTTATTTTGCATCTCTTTTTCTCAATGTAAATTACAGGGTTAACCCTAGTAGTCCCATCTTACCCTATTGAGATTATTTTACCACCAAGAATTATTTTTCATAAACCTAATATGCAAAATTTTTGTGGTTTGTCTGATATACCTTCACCTAATTGAAAATAACATTTATGTCCAACAGGTTATCAAAACATTACTCACTGCTATAACAAATACGACTGTTAATATAACTAAATTTAGGTAGTTGTATTGAGTGGGAGTGATTTCAAATTATTCAATGCCCAAACAAATATTTCAGTTCAGAAAATATCTTTTGAATATGCAAATTTATGAAAAAAAAAACAAGCCTGAAATAATAAAAATCGGCGGAATGCCAAAAAAGTGAATCATATATTCGATTATTTTTCGCCTTCGTAACCGGGGTTGTGCGTTCTGTGTCGACCCACTTAAAGTAACTATGGCCTATTTTCTACACAAAATGCCGGTTGTTTTGAGGCCTCAAAACATAGAAAACGTTGCCTGTGCTCAGAGTGCTACAGTCGTTGCAAATTGGATTTTGATTCATTACTCCACTCAGTTTATGGTGCTAGACATATATATATGCGAACGCCGGGCGACCGACGGCGCGTCAAGCTGTCAGGACTGTCAAACAGTGGACATTATGGTATTAACAAGCAACTAGTCACGACTCTACCAAGTAAAAAGTTCGAGCAGATTTGAGCCTTTAATGGAGCGCCTTAATACGAGTGTAGTAAAAGACCGACGTTGAATAATTTATCATTAAACCTATTGTAATATTGTGAATATTTATTCTGGTATGTAGGTATCGACATACAAGAAAGAAAACTTGTTTAACATTTCTTTATACAGTGTGTATTCGTACTTAAGTAGGTACACATTAGTTTTAAAAGATTTTTTTTATAAATCGAACATAATCTTTCATTTTAGGTAATGATTTATGGATAAAACAAATTAATCAAATGGTATCTTTATTTTAACCTTGTAGAGCTAAGGTATAAATGTGTAAATATTTATATTTACATACATAATATTAAAACCGGAAATAACGTCATAAAACACATTAAGAATATCAATAATTTATGTTTCAAAATAGACATAAATTAAGGGTTTCTTTTAGATTTTTTATTAAACACCACGTACTTAGAAATTAATAATAGTTTATAATAAATTAAACCTTTAGTCTTCAAATTCCCACTCCGCAAAATAATAAATCACATAGTAAATAACTAACTAAATATTTTGAACATAAGGGCTTTAGTACTTGTGCATCAGGTATTTTAATATTATTTTCAGTACTTTAGTTTCTGGGAAATTATATCTTCAAGTTATTTATGTCTAATACATATACAATTATATTAACAATGAATTAAGTACGATTTTCCATTTCCATACATTGTTATTGATAGGTATGTGTTTTTAGTTATGAAAGCCCAAACAAACTACAGAATTGGAGTAGGCAACAAGTTTCTTTTAATAGTGACATATGCAACATGGGTACATACGACGTTTTTACACATAATCGTGCGACGTCGTCGAGCATGCAAAATAAAACGAGGTGTAACGAAAACAAAAACTTGTTTTTTTCAATGCCAAGGCCAACCAAATTAGATACCGACTCGTATCGCAGCGGGCGTGTCAACATAGCATTGTGTTTACATTCGTTTCGAGATAAAAACGCGACGATTATTTTGTTGATGCAAACGTTTTGTATCACCTACATCATTCTTATTATTATTTTTATGGAGCCGTTCCCACGTAACTTTTATCAAAATAGTAGATATTAATGGCATGTATGTACATACTTGTTATAACACCTTTTTAAAGTTTTATACTTATTTATTTTAATTTAAAATATAGAATAAAGTATATTTTCCTAATCATGTAACCAAACAAGTTGTTTATAGTAACATATTTAAACGAAATATGATAATAAAAATAATTGCATAACCGTGCGAAATATTGTAAATTTTTGTATAAAATTTAATGGTATTAATTTAAAAAATATCATGAGGGTATCTATAGGGATAGGGAAATCTCCATAGAAAACCTTGACTAAAACTAAATGTATTAACAGTTAATCATCATTTAAAAAAAATGTGTGTCTATCCTTGGCCTTCAGGACACTATCTCTGGTAAATTCCACCAAAACAGTACAATAGTGAAGCCGAGATAACGCAGTAGATATGTAGTTACTTTTTCATAAACATTCAGAAAACATACTTATAGCAAAATATTTAGAAAAGAAGCAAAGGATAGTATATTTAAATAACTATTCCTTCATCCAGTGAACATTCAATCTCATACACACATACGTAGGTAGCAATATGACTTATTCAAGATTACTTATTATACACATCGTTGCTCCCAATTGTACCCCTATGTCCTTACTGCACTGTTTACAAAGATTAGAACATCGTAACAACGTATGAATAGAACCGAACTTATCGCATTGAATTTAAAGTGGAAAATCGTACGGCAACGGAAGTGCGCTTGACTTAATATGGGTAACCTTGGAAGCACAATGGGTTATTTTAATTTCATCAACAAAAAAGCTAACAACATACGTTGCCCCAATTATATGACATAATCGTTAGCTTGTTATACTCGCTCGTGTAACATAAATTACTTAAGCGATAGTAACTTTAATAATAACGTTCATAATTAGCAGTTTTTTTTTTCCGATTAGAATCTTAATTTTTTGTTTACCTACCTATTTTGTTTTGGTAATTATAAGCTCAAGTAATTTTTGGAGTATATTATTATGACTATCCTCAAGTTCATGCATAGATTAGTTATTTAAACATTAACAGATGTATCTATGTACTTATACTATTACGGATAAATACATTAACTATGAAATAATTATATGTATTTTTAAGTCGTGGATTGTTCCAAATATCTCTTAAGAATACAGAAGTAACACATAATAAATCTAAAACAATAGTATACATATCATTATTATTGTAAAATAATCTTTCCGATAATACAAGTACGTATATTAAGTACTTAGGTTACATAATTTTCAATCTTATCGTTGATATTTACAGTATAATTTGCAATGAAATTCAGAGGATGTGTCACACATCTAAACGGCTTTTAGCACCACACATATTAAATAATAATCATAAAAGACTTTGTTTACTGTACCAACAGTCGTTGATATAATATATCAATATATAGCAAATGCAACATGGCGCTCTTGGCCTTGGTAGTTGAATAAAAATAACGATGTTTTTGTCGAGTTGATTTTATATCAGGAGTGCGAACGACGCGCGCCGGCGCCGGTCTTGCATCCGACAAATATAACTACAAACATACTTAACTACAATACTCGGTATCATTAGATATGACTGCATGAGTAGTATATATTATACAATTACGGTTATACAATATAATAGGCACATGAAAAAAAAAATTAAACAACTTAACACCAGTTATGTCCGTCTACGCCTCCACGCTGCAGGTAACTGGTGAACGAGAACGGTAATGTTTTGTGGCGATGATAAACTACCGTCTCCCTAATTAAATCTAAAAATGAACCTATATTTTTGTAAACATGTACAAGCTCATTTGAAAAGAATAACAGTTGAATTTCTACTTAGTTCTTCTTAGCTCGAAAGCAGTTTAAACTGTCGGATACCTTTGTTTCATTATAATACATACAAGTATAACTCGGAAATATTTGAAATTAAGAGAAATTGTCTATTGCTTCTCTGTGAATGTTGATTTAGGTATGTACACGAAAAACCTGTTGACAATTTAATTTTAAATTCCAATCACTTATTTTGACATCAATATCGCAAAAACAACGTAATAATATATTGAGTATGATTAAAATTCTTAGTAGATAACTACATAATCAACATACACTGCATATTTACAAGCTTATATGCTCATTAGAATTATTTTCTGGTTACGCAAAATTTATGTAGGTAGATGTTTGTGTTATCTTACTTCTTACTAATATTGTAAACACGAAATTTTGTGTGTATGGATGGATGGATGGATGCTTGTTAGTTTTTCACGCAAAAACTACTGAATGGATTTTATTAAAACTTTACAATAAATATAGTTTATACATCAGAAACAGCTTAAAATTGTCACACAGGACGCAGCAGGAGGCCGCGGGCACGGTACAGTTTATTTTAACTATTCATATTACATATATACATAGTATGCACACATTAAAATCGATATATTATCCAGAGCGCCAAAATAGTCTGTTCTTATGATTAAAAATGACTTGTTTGGCGTTTCTAAAGACATGTTGTATTAAGTATTTATATTTAACAAACACATGGCTAGCAAGGTCAGCCGGTCAATAAAGACATTTGGTATTAGACATTGCAAAAATTAGAAGCTAAATGGACTTGACACGTGTTTTTAATGAAGAACTATTATATGTATATTACAAGTGTAATATATTTTACATTTTTCAAAAATGCTATTAATATATTTTTATATAGGTACATATATGTATATAAAATAATTTTAGCATATACAATCATTAATGATAACGATTACGCCTTTAA